GTTAATCACAAGGAATTGTGATTGTAAGAAACAAATTACATATAACTGAATCGTAAATCGTCCGTAGTTGTATGTAATAACGTGATACAGATATCGTTATTATGGATACCTTATCACGTGTGGCATTTCTTACTTGTAAAGTAAGTAATTGATCTCACAAGTTAAAAGTGTGGTGCACTTAAATGAACACGTGGATATTTAACAAAATATTGGAGACCCGCTAGGAAGATTACACATGGATAACTATATGTATCTGAGTTGTTAATCTCCAACGTTTGGTGGTGAAATTAGTCCTTTGATTTGAGGTCATTATATTGCTTTATATGAGGACGGTCATACTTTGGTGATGTTGCTCTACCAAGGGTTGCTAATATGACATTTTTCGGGTATATTAAGAATCATATGAATGTTGTGAATGATCAAGAGAGAATTCCACTCTTAGATAGCGAGAGATTGTGATTTACATCTCATTCAATTAAGTTGATAATGAAATCATTGGTCAAGATGAAATCATAAGCCGAAAATGAGTTTTTGACTTACATTGACTTAATAGCGTGATGAAAGATATAATTGATAATTGAGATTGACACATATTCATATCTCATAATTGATCGGATCATATTGACGAATGAATTATAATTTTACGGTAAACGAACAAATTTGATTTTGTCATACCATATGACATTTTTCGTCACATGTATTGCCCGACATAATGCTAGATGTCAATTTGGGACGACGGATGTGAATTGGTGATAAATTAAAAAGTGATATTTTAATTTATCGATTTTAATTAGATCAAAATAATAATTCATGCCGTTAGGTATCGTGATCGGAAATCTGATGGATCACACACAAAAAAATAACTAGAAGAATAAGATTTCAATTAATTAGTTAACAAGTGTTTTATAATTAATTAGTTGGATTGCTTGTTAATATGCTCGAATTAATTAATTGGATTAATTAATTTATGGAGCAAATTTAATTAATTAAATATTGGACTGAATTAAGTTGAAAAGACGGGTCAATCCCACTTGAACTTATATTAGTAAGCCATTAGAATTTCAGATAAATTGAACATAACACAATTCATTATCTTCCTAGCACAAGAACTGAGAAACCCTAGTTTTCTCTCATTCTCGTTCACCGTGTGGATTTCCATTGGAAGTTGGACAGTTATGGATTGCAGATCGTGATTGTTCATGTTCCAAGATCAATAAAAAAGTTTGCATAATTTACAAAGGTATATTTTCTAAACAAAGTTTATATCTAGACACAGAGCAAATTCGTGGTGGGAATTGAAAAAT